AAACGAAATAATAATTTGATCTAAGTAAGTTTTTTTTTTCTTCCCAATTTGTAAAAAAATCCTTAGGTGATAGAAAAAAAATTAATATTTTTTTCAAAATCTGCATAGCTGAATTATGGAAAATCCATTATTAAAACCAAAACAACTTTTATGAAGTTTAAATTCACAGGCCTGTTTAATTAACCAAATGGTTTCAGAAATGTAATCAAAGTATTTGTGGAATATTCATCATCATAATTTAGATGATTTTATTTCCTACAACATTTTACTTTCCCTACTATTTCAATGTAATCACATTAAAAACATTTTTATTCACTTATTGCTTATCATCTAAGTGTACATGCCTCAAGATAAATAAAATTGTCGATTTAGTTTTGGAAAAACTTTAATATAAAGAAACAGAAGTTTATGTTTACCTTTGAATTTCCTTGTATTGTGCAGTGTATGCTACAGCACATCTCAAGGAACAAGATGAGTACATTGACCTTTAAACCTGTGTGTTCTGTGATTCAGGGTCACTTTGAATACTAAAGTTTACAGCTTGATGCTGCCTTCCTGTTGCCTAAGGGTATCATTTCTACTCCAAAGACTAGATTTTTCAGTCTGTGCATGTTGGTATAGGCAGTTTTGAAGCTAGTTTAGTGCTTTTAACCAGACATAAGGGGGGGATTTGTGTACAGAAAGACAGTTACATGTAGTAGTTTATTAAAACATCCTGAACTTATTCCTCTTTTTTTATGTGTGTATTCATTACACATTCATAAGAATAAGCACAGTTGTTAATCAGAGATTGATTTAAATACATTTTTCCTAATATCAGATGTTGATGAGAAAGATGTTTCATTGAATTGCTTTTTTAAAAAATAAGTTTTGTTTTGATAGAAGAGACATATTAAAAAAAACTTTTATTGCATATTAAAAAAAGTTTATCTCATGATTATTCTATTGAAAGCACAAAATTAAACAGTAAAAAAATAGTAAATATCCTTCAGAGTGTGATGATAATGATGCATTGTTCATGAGAAGTATTTAAATAGTTATCCATGAATAACCTACTTAATTTTTTATATATGAATTACTTGTTGAAATAGTATCAATACTACCAGCTTTGAAGTACATGTCAAACTAATAAGGGAAATTGAAGGATAAGAGCTGCTTTATAGTAGAAGTTAATGACTTTAATGTGGGCCTCAAAAAGCTAAAAGGATGTTCTCTGTAGATAACAAAACTGTAGGAGGAAAGTGGGATACTTGACACTTGTTATATAGTTCATATATGTGTTTATCAAGAGGGTTGTTGCTGTTCCTGGCACAGAAGCAGCCAAAGTAAGGGGGTGGATATGTTTCCTTGTAGCTCAAACCTTATATTCTTCTATTTTTATGGGGTTGTGGTCTATCAGGTTTAATGTCATGGGATACTTAACAAGATTTTAAGTGTTCATGTAAAATGAGTTGAATATTTTTTTTTCCAGATGCAGACATATATATATGTGTGTGTGTGTGTGTGTACATTATTACATTATTCTATATAAACATATTTTAAAGGTGACAAATCTGAATAAAATGATCCATTTTTTGTTTTTTACATAGTTACACCTGTTATGTTGAATAGTCGTATTAGTATGTTTCATATTTGTGATTGTCACAGAAAAAGAAATAGTCGTATTAAAATAATGCTATATTGTTTTTGTTATGCTACTTTTTAACATGTTTTACATTATTAAATAATTATTTTCTACCCGTTGCCATAAAAACAAGTTATATAATTATATTTGTACTAGCAATATTTTGCCCTCTAAATATGTGTATGTTTACAATGAACTCATGTAATACAAATAGACAAGCAGTTTTCTTGTGCTAATAAGGAAAACCAATAGATTCAGAAAAGAATAATTCAATTTCTATTTTTTAAAACCTTATTTGAATCTTAAAATGTACAATTTATTTATTTAAACATTTTTTTTATTTGTCTAAACATAATTTATATTGTGTAATGTTTATAATGATTATTTTGGTGTTTATTAATTAAACAGTATTTGTATGAGTACCAGTAGTGGTTTTATATTACTGTTGTCAGAGTAACAATATTAAGATAATATTAAAAATAATACACAATGCATTCTGTTATCTTGACACTGACATGACGTGGAAGGTTTATAAATGTTTCCACAATTATTTGAATGTTCTGATTATTCACTTACTTTATTTATTCAGATTACTACCTGTTATTTATCTTGATCTTGCACGTTCTAGTTTTTATATGGTCATGCCATCTCGTGGCACTTTGTAAAGTTATTAATTGAAAATGCATTAAACAAGTAATTATTAAATCACTCAAAGGTTTTACATAAATGCAGTAAGTGAACTTCAAATTTACAAACCAAGTAGCATGATAAAATTGTATGTTGCTCTTATGTGGTTGTACTATTAATTGAACAAGTGATTCATTTATATATTTTGCACTTCTTTTAGCTTTTACAGAACCTGGGAAAGGCTGACAAGACAACAGATGAATTGTTTGATACTTATGTCAATAACTTTAACAAGCAACAAGTAAGTTGTACATTTTGGAATGTATTAATTGTTCTTTTAGAATCATTGGCAAAGTTATGTAAGTAAAGTATTTTTACATTTAAAACAGGTTGAAAAAATTTGATGTAAAATAATCATGGTCATTATATTTTCTCTGCTTTAATCTCACTAAAGCTTGTCCATAATATTACAAATGTCATTGATGGTTTAAATATGATGCATTCCTTTTGTAAATTTTAGATTCTGTACTCCTCATACTTCATTAATGGGAATTATTTAATATGCTGTGTGTTCTCATTCCCTTTATGTATAGGCTGGTCACCTTGTTGTCTCTTTATTACTTTGTATTTGATCTCTACCTTGCATATTCTGTTTGTTTGTTTTTTGTTGTTTTTATAATTACCATGTTTCTTGCCACTCTTTGGAGTTATTAATTGTTCTTGGTGGATGGATGATGTTTCTTTAGTTTTCACTTCTATTTTTTTTTTGTTTTTATAATTACCATGTTTCTTGCCACTCTTTGGAGTTATTAATTGTTCTTGGTGGATGGATGATGTTTCTTTAGTTTTCACTCCTATGTTTTTTTGTTTTTATAATTACCATGTTTCTTGCCACTCTTTGGAGTTATTAATTGT